GGGGGGGGGGGGGGGGGGGGGGGGGGAGAAAGGGTAGGCGCATGGTCAGGAAAGATCCACCGAAAAGCTCCGATGTCCCAGGCTGTGAGAAATCTCAAATTGTGACTTGTATCCTGAAGATCGCATTGTCCACATACCAGAAAATAGGTTTCACCTGAAATCCAGTCTTTGGATTGCCAAAGAGACCCGGAAAACCTGTTGTTCTACCAGCTGCTTAGACTACCACTGTATCTGCAAAAGACGATGGCAGAGCCTGTGGCCACCACAGAAGTCTGTGGCAGAACAAAATTCACAGCTACCTACCTTAAGCAACCTCATTGCCCTCTCTTTTGCCAGCTCTTTCCCAAGCTCTCTCTCCTGCGAGTATATCTGATACCTTTAGGAGAATCCAGCAAATAAAGCAAACAAGTTTACCTACTGTCGTTAACGAGCACCAAACAGACTTTTTCAAAAGTTCTTCCCCTTTTCTCTTTCCCTTGGCAATGAATTTCCCCCTTCATCCTTTCCTCTCACGACGACATTGGTAATCTTTTTTTGTTCCATCATCGCTTGCCCTTCATTTCAGATGTACACCAGACATTGTCATCGGGCCAATGGCAGCATGCATTACATAAGTCATATGCAGTGAAACTTTGGCTGTCATCCACAAAATGCATTACGAATGTTTAAACATAACCTGCCAAATGCTATCGGCCCAGGTATGCTGGGACTCAGTGAGATGAAAGCGCGAACACAGAAGAGAGAGACAAAGATGAACACACAGACTATGAGCTGTTTTTCACTAAATAGCAAATAGTAAATAGCAAATAGTCTCCAACCACCAAGGACTCAAATTCACGACAAAATTAATCATGTGCGATGATCGAAGCTCAAGGACTTCTTCCTTCTTATTCTTATTATTATCGCCATTACTTTCTTCACAAGTCGACGCCTGGCACAGCCCTGTCGCGGCACAGGTCTGGAGGTGGGGCACACCACAACGCTCCCCCCCCCCCCCCCACCCCACCCACCCACCAAAGGCAGGGCCTTATGGTCCTGGCTCTACCTGGGACTCGTCACAAAGTCTTTTTTTTTTTTCTTTTTTCTTTTTTTGAGGAAAGTAACCATAGTTACCAACCGGACGTCCGGATCCCGATCCGGACAGTCCGGTGTCTGGTGTCCGGTTCGGAGGGTCCGGTTGGACCCCGATTTCGAAAAATTCCAAAAATGTTTTTGGGGTTCCCAGGCCGTCTACCTGGGCCTGGGGTACCCCGGAAAAATAATGCTGATGTTTTTTTAGAACCGGTACCCCAACCGGACAGGCCCTGAAAGGGCCCTCTGTGTGATAACATTGGCACACGAGTTCACTGCTTTGCTCTAATTCGGATGGAATCTTGGCGCATTTATGCTCTCTGCTTGGTAGACGACTATCTGGACTTCTGCGTGATTTTGCAACTTGATTTTCTGTCTATCACTCTCGCTCATATTCCTTGCATTTTTGTGACGTGGGAGGAGGGTCTGGCCGATGGGAGGGGCGACCAGGGATGGGAGGGCGACGAAGGATGGGAGGGGCGAGCAGGGATGAGAGGGCGATGGCGAATGGGAGGGCGATGAAGGATGGGAGGGGCGAGCAGGGATGGGAGGGCTATGACGTAGACAGAGATGAGCAACATTGGATACTGTGTTGGTGGGGCCTGAGGGCGATGACATTGGCACACGAGTTCACTGCTTTGCTCTTATTTGGATGGARTCTTGGTGCATTTGAGCTCTGTGCTTGGTGTTTTTTTTTTTTTTTTTTTTTTTTTTCGGACAACTGTTATAGTCCTGTCTCTTATACACATCTAGATGTGTATAAGAGACAGAAACAGGACTGTCCGGGTCCGGATGTCTGGATGTCCGGTTTGATCCAGATACGGGTCCGGTGTCCATGTCCGGTTGTCCGGTTGTCCGGGTCCGGAACAACCATGAAAGTAACAGTGAGGCCTGCCAGCATTGATTGCCCGCGAAGTCAAAATTGAAAATTGTACAAAATTAACAAAACGTTACAAAAACACTCTATGCTTCCCCATGTAATGGCCAGGGGAACCGTGGCAGCATTGGTTACCAATTTACCACTGTTGAGGGGGGATTAACTGACCGGTACGCCCATGCTTATATTCAATTGCCCCTTTCCTCTTCCTTTTTTTTTCCCCCCTTTCTTTTTGAACTGAACCTTCTGGTCCAGGCTCCGTTCTATTCTGGGGAGCAAGAGTCCACCTGCTGTTCCATCGGCAACAAGTCAGAACATGAACAAAGATACCCAGTGTTACCCACTCATTGCTTAATCTCGTTACGGCTAGAGGAACCCACACCACCATGGACTGCTCCCTACTGGGAGGATAAACTGCTTTGCAAGCTTATTCCTTGATCAGCCTCCTTCCCTGGCAGATAACTTCCCATCCCAAGAAAACACAAAAAAAGAAAAAATGGGGCTGATTTTATCTTCTCAGCTTCCACTGCCTCGTAAAAAACATTGCTCCTTCAAACCACCACTACCTTTCCCACGCAACGTCAAGAATCAAGACTGTAACATTCCAAAGAGTCGCAGCGACTTCTGATGAACAGTGCTACTGGACCAACACGGTAGGCCGTGCCAGCCAAAAAAAAAAAAAGAAAAACACTGCTGTGGCGTTTCAGCAAAGCTTGACCCGCAGGTGGTACCCACTGGGCAAAAAGAGCCCTAGAGGTAGTCCTGGTTTAACACTACCGTCTTCACCCGAAGACAATGTCCGGTCATTACAGCTGTATTTGGAGCAACTTGCAGTCCAGATGCAGCGATAACGACCGGGCATTCTATTCGGGTGAAGACAGTAGTCTACCCAACTTTCAGACATCAGCATTCTTGCACTAACTCTTTTCCATGCCTATCTTGTTCCTTTCTTTTTTTTTCTTTTTTTTTCCAAAACAACTCAGCCCCTTCTATTCTGGGGGGCATCAGTCCGGTTGCTTATCACCTGCAAGCATGAGTTTCAAAGTAAAAATTATTTGTAGGAAAAGAGGAAAGTCTTACCCTTGTGGCCCTAGACGCCTAACAAGGGGGGGATTGCTACAACCGATCCCTCTTCCTGTACCATAGCCGCCCCAGGGATACCTCTGTTGGTCGGGAGGCTTCCTAACAGCACCCAGCCACACAACAGAAGGGTCCCCAGGGAAGGCCTGGCCCGGGGGGGCCATTCTAGCAGTCTCACGGGCCTCACAACCTGTCAGTCCCAACCTCTGTTCAACCATCTTTTTTGTACCTACTAACACTCTTTTAGTTTAGATCCTTCCCTATCCCGGCTTCCTATTGAATCCTTAAGTCTCGTCCAATTTTTACACCAATCTCCTTTGTCCATCCTATCAGTCACACCCTCTGTTCAAATCCTCTTTTTTATAACTACTACACTCTTTTAGTCTAGTTACTTCCCTATACCCAGCTGCCAATTGTATGCTTAAGTCTCATCTAATTCTAACTCCTGTCTCCTTTGTCTTTGCTATCACCTCTTTCCTCTTGCCCTTCCCCCACTTCTAATCCAGGCTTTTCAAACCTCACATTTCACCCTCATTCTATTTACACCGCCCTCTGGTTTTAAAGCCATTCTAAAATGCGAGGATTCGGATCCTCGGCAGGCCTAAGGGGGCCCCTGTTGTATCTGTGCCTGCCCTAAGTGAAGGCGGGCCTAACAAATCATGAGAGGCCATCGGCTGTCAATTTCGTATTTGGGGTCCAGGCAGTTTCGTCGCGCCAGTTGGTTGAGAAAAACACAGGCCGAGAAGCGAGACCTTCCAGGCCTTTCCAAAATGATGCAGGCCCTGGACGAGAATGGCAGCTTCATACACAGACAGTTGGGAGGCCCAACGGAACGAGGCCCAGTAGCTGCAAGAGAGGCGCAGCATCCTGGGGCCTACCGGAAGCTTTTGGGCCCAGGCCAGCCCAGCCAGGCTGCCGAATGAGGCAGGCTCTTTCCATATAGGAAAGAGCTTGCTGCCTGGCCAGGCATTCGGGCACTCGCATGCTCGCGGCAGCGCTGCTGGAGCTGAAGCTCGTGGGCTGCTGCTAGCGCTGAGAGGCGAGGTGCAAGCAGGTGGGCTTGGATGTACAGTGGGCAGCGCCACAGCTTAGCCACCATAGCTGGTGGGCTTGGATGTACAGTGAGGCACAGGGGTGGTCTTCGGGTGTACACAAGGGAAGACGTGGGAGAGAGACAAGGGAGAGAGAGAGAAGGATGATGATGATGATGATGTGAGGGCACATACCTGGTATTGGCGATGGTCTGCATGGGCAACATCTTCAACTACTTCGGAGGCTGCTGACGTCAACAGTTGCATTGTCAATTAGTAGGCTAGTAGTAGCTGTGTAGGGAGTAGGCTGGGCGCCGAGCGCCAAGTAGGGAGATAGGGACTGGATACATATGTTGGTGGTGGCGAGAGCAAGCTCTCATTGACATTGATTTTCAGTGCTACGATTCTCCATTGGTGTTATACTGGTGCAATGCTGCTTTCTGAACACTGTGATACGATCTGGCTTTCAATGTGATTGTGCAATCTGAATATTGTCATCTCGCTATTGCTCATTTTCCTTGCAATTTGGTATCGGAGCTGGTGCGAACTGCGCTCACTGGTTCTTCGCAATGCTTCGCACGAGGTGTGGGGCAGTGATAAGGCTCGGGCGTTTGACGTAAGGCGGCCCAGGGTCGTGTGGGCGCGCCAGGAAGCTATGTGGTGACATTAGGGGTGTACACTGGATGATGAGAGCTCGCTGATGTGGCATTTAAGCCGAGGTGGAACTGCATTCTCCTGTTGGTTGTGCCGAGGCAAAGACCGCTCATCATAAAAGCACATCAGGTTGCCGGTGAGAAATCTGTGGTTGGGGGCAGCATTATGAGGTACGTTGCTTCCTTCCTTACCTACCCTCTTCATTGCAACTTACCATGAGGAAGTAAGTTCTGTCTTGAGAGTCCTCTCAATGTGAGGTGTCGCGAGCGCTCAACCTTGAGAGTCGACATTCTTCCTGGGCAGCAAGCTGGTGGGTGAAGGGCCCTGGACGAAGCACTCGGGTCATGGTCACCATGCCAACCCACTGGGACTGGTACACACATGCTTTGCTGCAAGTCCTTGGTTCTGCTGCTGCGCAATAGAGGTCATGCAGGGCATGCCAGCCCTTTGAACAGACGCTTACCAGACCGTCTTTAAATATTTCTGGCGGGGACTCGGTGTTGATTCTGGCTGTGACCGTCGTCCTGTCTACGACGTTAAATAATCCCTGAGGAGTTACGGGGGATCTCCTCAAATGCCTCCTGATCAGCCAGATCAAACCGGGTGTAAGGCTCGTTGCATGCGAGGATAAATAATGTGCAGGGGCTGGCAGGTTC